GTTAGAAAAGGAATTATGTATGTGAATTAGTAATAGTATGAAGAAAAAAGTAAATATTTTTGAGGTAGAACTTCAGTTTTGGAAATTCTGGGAGTGTTTTCAAAAATAGAGATATCTAGTTCAGAAAGAATGAAGTTATCATTCAGTGGAAGTACTGATTTTGATTTGAAACAAGTAATATTTGTTTAATATTTAGTTAGTAATACAACTGCCTTCTACAGATCACTTGGTAATTCCTCATATAAGAGGCAGTTTGCACACATATAGCACACTTCTTTGCCCAGTCCCTAGCAAATACATACAGAATTCACATAGACTTTTCTCTCTGTAATCTACTTTTTTTCTTCTACTAGTTGAATTTGAACCCAAAAAAGTCTGTACAACCAAGGCTCATATCAGGTTAAGTTTATGGGTCTGCAATATTGTTTGGGCTTTTAGAGCTTTTTAGTTTTGTTTTGATTTCTTCTGTAGTTTGGGGGAAGGTGTTTCTGGGAGATGTTTTAGAAGGATGTTGGGTCAGACCTCTATGACACTATTTATAGCTGTCCTTCTAACATTTTAGTTAATGTTTATCTTCTGTAATGTTTTAAGATGTTTTTCTGTCATTCGTAGGAATTGAATACTATGTCTTTTTGTAGCAAGTGTCAGAAAGTATATGCTGACAGCGCTGTTACTGAACCATGAGAATATGTGAATTGAATGTTAAGTTGCAATGTTGTAAAAAGCTGCAGGTTCACAAAAAGGTGTCTGTGGAGGAATGGTTAAGTGAAGTAGGTCATGTGAATGTTGAGCAACTTGGAGGTCGCGAGCTAAAAAAGTATCGAACGCAGCTCATATGAGTCTGGCAGATGGCGGGAAGCCAATCAAGGGACAAAGGCATTGTGTCAGTGTGTGGATGGGAAAGTGCCTAAGGCGGCATAACGGTTGAGGGAATGAGGAGCTAGCTGATAAGATAGGGAAAGTTGCACTAACCAATGGTGAGCTTAGCTTTTGCAATATGTATGAGCTAATTATATTGAATCATATAAAAGACGGCTGAGCTATCCAATAAATCGAAGTTCACTGATCACTCATATTGAGCGTCTGTGTCTTCCTTCCGTCAACAACAGGTGTCTCAAAGGCTCATGCATTACAATTGCTATGTGCTATTGTTTCCATGGATTCTGCCTCAGTAGAGAGGACCTCATCTCGATCTACAACTTCCTCGTGAGGGGAAGTGGAGAGACAGGTGACCTATTCTCCGTAATCACCAGTGATAGGACCCACAGTCCTATCGGTATTAAGCTGAGGCAGGGGAAGTTTAGCCTGGACATCAGGAAGAGGTTCTTCACCGAGAGGGTGGTCGCACACTGGAACAGGCTCTGCAGGGAAGTAGTCACTGCACCAAGCCTGTTGGAATTTAAGAAGCAATTGGACTGTGCACTTAGTCACGTGGTCTAAACTTTTGGGTAGACCTGTGTGGTGCCAGGAGTTGGACTTGATGATCCTTATGGGTCCCTTTCAACTCGGGATATTCTATGATTCTGTGATTCTTTTTAGAGTGCAATTTTAGATTGATTCTATTTCAGATCTAACAGAAGATTCGAGTATTTCTACTTAGCTTGCTTTGGCTTTTAAATGATTTTTTTTTAATGGGGAAATGTGATCTGTTGCTAACTGAAGTTTGAAATCAATAGCCAAGAGATTTTGAGATAGCCAGAGAAAGAAGCTGATATGAGTGGGTTTTATTAGAGCTGTGTCTCAAAGCAGGTAAATTAATATGTGGCTACAAAATATGTTTCGACCATGTTTGTATCAACTAAAAAAAAAAACTAGGTAATATGTACCCACCTTTAGATGACAGCTCCCTGTACATTGCGCCAGGGGAGTTTTAGGTTAGATGTTAGGAAGAACTTCTTTACCAAAAGGGTTGTTGGACACTGGAACAGGCTGCCCAGGGAAGTGGTGGAGTCACCATCCCTGGAAGTCTTTAAAAGACGTTTAGATGTAGAGCTTAGGGATATGGTTTAGTGGGGACTGTTAGCGTTAGGTCAGAGGTTGGACTCAATGATCTTGAGGTCTCTTCCAACCTAGAAATTCTGTGATTCTGTGATACACGATATACAAAAATCACTTTAAGGACTGCTGCTTTGAGATGCCTCCATTGGCCTACACCTTAATGCAATCTGGAATGCTTAACAGAGTCTTAGCAAATTATATACACTGTTTTGCACAAATATTTTTTTCTTATTTTTAATTCATACAGAGTCATTAAGTTTTGGTATGCAAAAAGACTGATTTAGTCAATGTGCTAGAACTTAGTTATATTTTGCTTTCAGTTCATGGTGTAAACTGTGCTTTCCCCTTTGGAATACACAGCTTCCTGCAGAATCTGATCTGCACTGTGTTCTTTCAGTAGAAATGAGAATACTGAAGACTATATAAAAAGACTTCCACTGGAAATTGGTATGACGGTATTTAGGTTGTATCCACTTTGTTATTATTTATCACTAAGGGCAGTGGCTGTGTGTTTGTGTAAATTTTGTATGAATTGCTTGCAAACTTCTTTTCAAAGTTACAGGATTACAAATTTAAGCACTTCGTACTTCCTGCAGATTAAGCATACAGTTACGTATTTTTTTTAGGAAAAAAAAGTAAAACTTATTTGTTAAGAGTGAATGAAGTTACACTTTCTTGTATTATCTAGTTTGGGTATGTCTGTCTGGCATATGGCTCCATGAAGAGTCAGAAGAGCACCAAGTCTCCTTTATGTATACAGCGATTGCTCTCACTAATCTCAGATCTTAGTCTCAGAGAGCTGTTTTAACCAAGGACATGTCAAAGATGACAGTGTGTTGTTACAACTCTGTTTTAGCAGACTATATATTCTGCTTCCCTGAAAGGTGAAGTATTGTGGATTAGGATTTTGTTCCTTCCTATGAGTTGTGGTTTAACCCCAGCAGGCAGCTAAGTACCTCACACCCACTTGCTCATTCTCCCCAGGTGGGATGGGGGAGAGAATCAGAGAGGTAAAAGTGCAAGAACTCATGGCTTGACAGAAAGACAGTTTATCAGGTAAAGCATAAGCTTCGTGTTCAAGCAAAGCAAGAAATTCACTCAGTACTTCCAATCAGCAGGCAGACACTCAGCCACTTCCAGGAAAGCAGGGCTCATCACACGTAAGGATTTCTTGGGAAGACAAATGCCATCACTCCAAGTGCCCCCCCCTTCCTCCTATAAACCAGCTTTTATTGCTGAGTATGACACTATATGGTATGGAATATCTCTTTGGTCAGCTGGGGACACCCCCAGACTCCTCACTGGCAGAGCAGTATGACGAGCTGAAAAGTCCTTGACTCAAGGTAAGCACTGCTCTGCAGCAATAACAAACATTGGTGTGCCACTATTTTCCTCAAAAATCCAAAATAGCCTCTACAAAGAAAATGAACTATATCCCACCCAAAGTCATGAGAATGTCCATGCCTTATGCTATACCATTTATGTCATGCTCAGGACCCAAACTTTCCAATACATCCTCATTAATCACCACCCTTTGATTAATACACAAATTTAATTCCCTTAATCTGTGTACCACTATGGGCACAATGATCTGCATCGGAGACCTGATCGACAAAAAGCGTAGCTAGAAGTACTCGAAGTAATTTCACACACACCACGGAGAGCTTCTCTACTACTTCCCAGCATTCACTCAGTTGAAGTACTAAAACAAATTAGATTTAAGTATCCTCAGAGAAGGCAAGTGTTTCTTCCTCCTCTTCATTTAAGTGCATTCAGAAAGTTACTGAAGTAAACAGATAAGCCTTGCATTGTGTTTTCGTAGTACCTTTTGTGAGTTTTCTCACAGAATTACCATTCAATTATCGAGTTCAAAACTAAAACTTTCCATGCTATCGCAGTGATTTTTCAGTTTTCTCAAACTTGATGATTTTATGTTGAATATACTTCTCAATTGGTGTTTGTCCTATGTTTGCAATGACTTTCTAACTGTCTACAGCTGTAAATGAAGTTTATAAACCATAGTGATACGAGTGAAACTGAAAGGCGTATGTTGATAAAGTGCAGTTGGGTACCATGCAAGAACTGTTACGAATTCATTTTGGTCTTACTCCAGACTTTTTTTTTTTCCTTGCCTACTAGATAAAGGTAAAAGTACTGTACAGTCGAGACCAACTCTGCAAAATACTTGCCTACAAAATAGTTAATGAGAGGTATATTTCTGATGATGAAGATAGTTGACATCTTGCCACACTTTACTCCTGTATATAACATGCTTCTGTATCAACCAAGAACAACATTTTGTCTAGTTAGCCGGTGCTTTGGAGAAGAATCTCCAAAGAGAAAAATCCTGATTTTTCCTGATTAGCAACTACAATAATCACCATCTTCCTGTATTTGCGGAGAAATCCAAGGCCTTGGCAAGTAACCACACCATTTTTTTCAACAAAGAAATTAATAAATCAAACCCTTTTTCTTACACCTTTTTAAATTATAATCAAAGCCAAAAGGTAATTTCTTTCCCTTTGTGTTTTACCAAATACAGCTTGAAGTCTCAGCAAATACATGTAATAATGTCTGAATGTAGTAAATGGTGGCAGACCTAGAAGGCAGTACAGTGCAGTGCTAAACTGTTCATTGCTCCCAGAGGCTGTTGTACTTGCTGTCAGTTAAACCCAGACTCCCTTCACTCTCATCAGTAGTTTGTGGCAGATGATGGTCTGTTTTTTTAGTGTCGTTGTTATGGTTCTGCAAATTGCTCATAGTAGACATTAGGTTATGTATAAGTCCACATGAACAAAACTTCTTCTGTCCTTTTTTTTTAAGATAATGAATTAAAACACTAATGACATTTTTGAACATGTTAATTTCAAGCTCTCCTTTATTTAATGCACCCAGTATATAATAGTGGTCAAGAGTTGCTGGCTGTTCTGTTCATTAATAATTATGCAACTCTTTCTGTATGAAACACTAGATCAATTGATCAATTGATTTATTTGTTTCAGGAATTTATCTCTTGGACTTAATCTACATTGATTCTGCATATCCTGCTTCAGGCAGCATTATGGAGAATGAACAAAGGTCCAATCAAATGAACAATATTCTCCGAATAATAGCTGATCTGCAAGTCTCCTGTAACTACGGTTGGTAACTTTTTTTACACCTAATAGTCTTAACTAAAACTTATATAATACAAAAATGTGATAACAGGTTTCTCACGTGTAAAGGCAACACAGGATGCTAACATTAGTGGAGTTGGACAATAAGTGCTATAGCTTCCCTTTCCATGTAGTTTCAATCCTACTGGTAAATCAGGCAAATGAGCATGTATTCTAAATTCTAAATTTTGAGAGCTGTGACAGAAGTTGTGCAGAGTATACTGGTATGCGTATGGACCAAAAGTGGCGTATTTTCAAACACAGCTGAAAGTACAGACAGAAATATCTCAATATCTTTCCTTTTATTTGCAGCAGATTGGATGTTTTTGGAGTGTACAGTATGTTTATTTCATCAGTGTACATTATGAGTATTTCATCCTCGTTGTTAGTATCCTGACATTTACAAAATGAAATACACATATTCTAATCTATACAACAGTTGTTAAATTCCGTGTTAAATTTTTCACATATCTCATTTGGTGAGGAAGATGAGGGCTGCTTCTGTTTGTTAAAAAGATTTTGCTCTAATATTGATTTCTGCAATTTTAGCCTGTTATGTGAAGCTGTACATGTATGTCAAGAAATGTGCTTCTTTCAGGGTCTGGATGAATACAGAGCATACCGTTGATGACTTAATATGAATTTCCATTGCTTGAACATGGAACTATCTGGAAAACCTTGACAGCAGCTGTACCATTTAATTGAATAAATTCAGAACATTTAAATGGTACAGTTTTGGAGCGTTTTGAATCAAAAAAAATCTTATATTATGAAAGAATGAGATATTACTCACGTATGCTTAAGTATCCATTGTCCTTTGTTGTAGATTTTGATATTATAAATTATTTAAAGCTAGGAATTAGGCATAATAATGTATGAGTCTGAAGAGCTAGATTATTATTCATCTGTCGTGTTCTTATTGTGACTTTCATTTTGTCTGAATATTTCGACAAAGAAACCTCCTCACTTCACTGACCCTATCTTTTGGGAGTTATGACAGTTTCTTTCAGTGCTATTTATTAATTTTGAATGCTTTTGTTAAAATCAGAATGAAAATTAAAATGTGTCCTTGAAGAAACAATCTTCTGTAATAACGTGTGCTTTTAAAACATTTGTTGTTATGAAACCATAAAAAATCACATAGTACAAGAACCATGTGTTGCTGTCCATATACCATACCCTCAAAAATTTTTTCTTTCTGAATTTAAATAAATTTAAATAAATTCTGAATTTATTTATTTACAATTTCTTTGTATCTTAAGCATTGTAATTTTTGAATTCTTCTCACGTTGTGCATATGAGAATCAGTAATAGCCATTGTTGCAGGCTTTAATTTTCCCCCACAAAAGTTAGTACAAACTCCACGCGGGGCTTGCATCAAAGTAACAAACACTCTTCTGCTTTTGACATAGCATATAATATCATCCTGTAATCTTCCTGATGATGAAATGTATCTGTGTTTTCTTTAACAACTGAGCATCACTTTCGCTTAATCAAATATTTAACATCCTTTTAGAGACCAAGCAATAATTCTGCCTGATTTATTCTTTAGTAAATATCACATTCTATGTTTACATTGAGATAACCATGAGAACTGGGGGGAGGGGGGGGAGGGAAGGATTTATTTTAGATGATCAAATATTCATCTTGTTTTGTTTTAACACTACAGATCATCTCACAACACTGCCCCATGTGCAAAAATATTTGAAGTCTGTCCGTTACATAGAAGAACTTCAGAAATTTGTAGAAGATGACAATTATAAGTAAGTACTATTATTTCCTTCAGGTTTGGGGAATTTAAAGGAAAGATGACATGGATGTTATTTTGATTCATAGTTGAACAAAAAGCTGTTGACAGAAGATGCTGTGTGGGGTTTGTCTGGAGTTCTTCATATTTTATTAATAGAGTTGGTAATACCAAGATGACTGAATAAAATCCAGAATGACTGTTGTACTTTATGACTCTAACCAGATTTCCAAAATACCTTTGTACAAGTTAAAAGCAGATGAAAATCTAATCTTCGCTACATTATACCATGTTTGTATTCTGGAAATTTTGTTCAGAAACACTAGAGCCATATCTAGGATGTCCAGAATTGACTCTGTGCTATTGTAAACTGTACATAAAAGACATCTCCCAAGCAACAAGCCATAGGACAAGAGAAAATGGCCTCAAGTTGCAGCAGGGAAGGTTTAGGTTGAATATTTGGAAAAACTTCTTCACTGAAAGGGTTGTGAAGCACTGGAACAGTCTTTTCCAACCTAAATGATTCTAAGTGTTTCTATCTTCCAAATTCAAATTTGTATTTGAATTACTGTTAAGCTACTACTTCGGTTATAAACCTGACAATTTGGGGGAGTTGAGAAAGAGCCAACCCTCACAGTGGTGTGAAGTAGACACCGTAGAGCGCATTGATTTTAAATCTTGCAGCCGAAGTTTTATATAACTCAACCAAGGTAGGTGCAGTGCTATTTAATTAGCTATTGACAAATGCAGTACATCTATTTAGATGAGCAGAATTAGAAGTGTTCAAGGCAACTAGATGTTCAGTAATAGGAGGATGGTATGAAATATTTCAGAATATATTTAGGAGAAAAATGTTGAGTTCTTTAAAACCAGTCTTGTTACCAGTTTTATTAAATGCTTAAGTTAGTGCCTTGTCTCAAAAGTTCTGTGTATCTAGACCATATGCTAATAAAAGTGTTGGAAGGGTTCATCAAAGTAATAGGTGATTGGCATATCACAGAAGAAGAGTCAGAGTCCATCTGAAGTAACAGTGACATAAAAAATCAAAATAATTTAATATTTATTCTAAAAAGTATTTATGGTGTTGATCGGTAGATGTCCCTCAGAAGTGAGATACAACCATGAAAAAGACAAATACATGCATACTCTCTATCAAATATAATATTTCTAGGAAAAATTAAATTGTTAATACTGCTTCACAAGAAGCTGGTTAAACCTTGAATGGAGTGCTCTATGCGGTTCTGGTCATCTGTGCTTAGAATGGATTTGAAAAAATAAAAAAAGATGATGTGTTGAGGAGAATAAAGTCTGTCTTGTAACACCAGATTAAAGGAAAGCCTGGGAAAGCAAAAGTTGAGGTAACAGAATCGCTATATGTAAATACAATTAGGTAAAAGTAGGAAGGGTAAAGAGCAATTTAAACTGCTTTGTAATGGTAGCACAAGAATAAATGAATACAAAAACTATGAGCTCAACATTGAAATGTGGTTTTTAACGATCAGTAATGGAATTCTGGAATAGTTTCTTAATCAGAGTAGAGACACAAATAATTAGATAAGTTTGGGTTGAAACATGATAGTTAATGAAATGAAGACTTGGCTGGTATCTGTGAAAGCAGAACAGATTCAGTGAGTCAGAAGATTGTATATTCCCAATGTGGGAATACCTGCTTCGTTTATATGGTACTTGGTGTCCTGCACATATCAGCATAAAGAATGGCCTACTCTAACCATTCTGTATTTCTCTGTAATTATAGCTGACACTGCTGTCATACAAATGCAAAATCATACTTAGATTGTTCAAGGAAATAAAACGTGTTGCCATAAGACACACCCCCACTGTCCCCCCTTAAAAAAAATAATTAATTAATTAATTAAAAATAATTTTAAAAACGCTATTGAGCATAGGTTGAGACGAATGTTTTTTCTTTTTTTTCTTTGTTTTTGCACATAACTGTAGTTGTTAACTCCAGTTACCAAAGTTCATAGAGTGGCCTCAGTTGAAAAGCACCTTAAAGATCATTTAGTTTCAACCCCCCTGCTCTGGGCGGGGTTGTCAGCCACTGGAGCAGGCTGCCCAGAGCCGCATCCAGCCTGGCCTTGAATGCCTCCAGGGATGGGGCATCCACAACCTCTCTGGGCAACCTGTTCCAGTGCCTCACCACCCTCTGAGTAAATAACTTCCTCCTTATATCTAACCTAAATCTCCCGTCTTAGTTTAAAACCATTCCCTCTTGTCCTGTCACTACCAACACACACAAACAGGCATTCCCCCTCCTGTTTATACCCTCCCTACAAGTACTGGAAGGCCACAATGAGGTCTCCTCAGAGCCTTCTGTACTCCAATCCCCCCCGCCACCTCCTTCCCAGTGTATATTAATGTAGATATTCTACAAGGCAGGAAAATGGTAGTGTTCACAGATTTTGACTGGGAAAATGAGAAACTAAATGACCTGTTAATCATCACATGCTGTCCCTCAGAGAACCCCGGATTCTTCTACTTAACTCTGGTTCAAACCATTGCACATACAGAGCTATTCCTTATCCAGTTCAGTTGATGTAAATTCTTGGGATAAGTGTTTATGGAACTTTGCTTTTCCTGAGAGAATGATTCTAAAAGTGAAATAACACAGACAAAGCGTTCTTTTTATGATACAAGATATCATAAAAATCATACAAAAAAAATCATAAAGTATCATAAAAATATCATACAAACTGATACAAGAACTGCTCTGAATATTATCAAATATATTATCAAATATACATCAAATAGAGAGAAAGTCTTCCAAAACATGACCTCTTGTTTGGGGTAAACTCCAGCAGAAGTTTAGCAAAAGAATCTGAACTAGCACTGGGTAGGTCACTTCAAAATATACTTGGCAGGTTTTTGCAGGTTTGTGCTTTTGTGTCCAGCTGATCACAGATACTAATAGTGATGTTTCTGCAGGAAAATGACTTGGCACAAAATAATTTATCCGTGTGATGTTTTCATTGCCAATTATACTTGCTTTGTGGAATTAGAATTCCTACCAGAGTACTGATGATAGAATGCATATGTCCACCCTTTTTTCAGTCTTGTGATACTGTATATTTTTCACAAATATAGACGCATTGTGCAATAGAGGCACATTGAACATCTACACTGCGCAAAGATTTGTGTTAAGTATAGTCTGCGATTTAAATCTCAATGTTAAAATTTAATAAGTGGCCATTATTTACTAATTTCTGATGTGTCATTAAAGTTACATAAAGAGCAAAATTAAACTGAGCAACAATTTATAAAAGTGAAGAATTCTTGTTTCTATAGGTTTTGCAGCTCCTGGGCCTGATGCAAAAAAGTGGTTATGGTGCTTTATTTGATTTTTTTAGAGACTTGCCTCATGGCTTTCATTAACTCTCATATCTTAGTAAAAATAGATGAAACAATTGATCTCTATAAGTTTATCACACCATGACTTAATATTTGGAGAAACTACAAGTCATGAGTAACTCCAGTTTAAATTTGAAAATCATTTTAACCTTAGCAGTGACCTTGCTGATAATGCTTTAAGGTATATGATGTATCTTACAGATAATTAAGTACTTCTATTTGTACATTCTTAAGTACAGTTGTTTGTGAGAAAGAGTATCTCAGTCAAATTTCACAGTTTTTTTTCTAGGCTTCACTATGGCTGGGAAAAACTGGACTGAATTCATAAGAGGCCTTAAAAAGAGGGAAAGATTTGGTTCTTAGCATAAGAAATGTTACTGTAATTTGTATACATTGGTCTGTGTTGGAGAATCTTGACCTTATTCTACCAAGTTTGTTTCATCAGAATAAAGCTTTAAGTTCAAGCCTGTATTTGTCAAAACTTAACACATCTGCCTTTAAAGAAATCTATTCCTTTTCTGCTTGTGTATTTTGTTTTGGGTATTTGATTTCACATTTTCCTCTTGGTTGTCCCTAATAGCATTTTTCCCTTCACAGCATTTTCTGGTCCCCTGCCAAAAGAAACTTTAAGCTTTAAAAAAGCTAAGTGTGCTAAGATTTTTATAGTGGGAAGGAATCTTCTACCTCTTTCTTTTTTCAGTGACTGCTCTTTTTGAGCCAGGGAAAGTATTAGTATACTCTGAAGAGGCTGCTTGACTTGTGGGAGGAAGAACAGAACTACCTCAGTACCAGGATGTCGGAGAGAAGCATAGATAGTTGCCCTACAATGTATTGGCAGGATCCCAACACACGTTTCAACAAATTAGAACTTCAATTACACTGAAAAGGAAAATTTGGCAGCCACTTTGTATAAACAAAGCTTTTCTCTTCAATTTTTTTTTTGCCAGTCTAATTGCTTGCTTTTGGTTTGTGCTTGTCAGCAAGTAGGAATACTCCAGAAAACCCCTGACAATGATGTCATATCTTATAAATAATAGGTTTTCCTTGCTCAGCCCATATACTGTTCTCTGCAGAAGATGAGAAATTAAATATGCCGGTTACAAGACTGAAGGGGAAAAATAGGAACCAAAACATCGGGATTCCTTCCAATTATATTCAAAATATATTGCTAATCATCATTTTCTCAGGGAATCACCAACAACGAACAGGTTTCAGAGATACCATGATGCAACTACTGCAGAATCTTTTTCCTCCCCCAGGAGTATAAGAAGTAATCTGAGGAGAGTGCTTGTCCCCAGGTATGCAGTTTTTCCCTGAGCTAGACAACAGTATCCAAACACTGTGGCATCATGCCACATCATTTTGTAACCTGCCATGCCTTGCAGTGGTTCCAAAACAATTTATTTTGCTGAACTCTCAGAATGATTAGGTCAGACCCAGTATTCTCCACACCTTATTCTTGGTCCTTGCTAGGATAAATAGGCATGTTTTCTCCATTAACCTTCTTATTCAATCCTTCACCTCTGTCTTTACTTCAGAGTTACTTTACTGTAATCAAGAAAGACAGTCTGGGGAAAGGAGGCTGTGCCTTACTGACAGCCATAGAGAAGTCTTGGCTGAGAATCCAAATTAAGGGGTGTTTTTAAAGCTGTAAGCTTAAAGAAGCAATTCTGTAAATAGGCAACATCAGAGTACAGCAAACCCAAGACAAGGTATTTTTGAGGTTTTCTTTAAAAAGGTTGACACCAGTTTGCCTAAATGTCTTAAAATTCTATTTAAATAAAATTAGTTGGAGAAGTAAAGAACCAATTAATTCTTCTTTGACTTTTTATCAGTGTGTAACAATGCTTGTATTCAATCAGTACACAACAAAATGCTTCCAACAGCTGCTTTGAAACTGGGTTTATTTGCTTTGTAAAATAATTTCTCAGAACAACTTGTAAACATATTAGCTATCAGAAATTGCTGCCAAAAATCATGTTAATAATTTTTTTTAGACAGTTATTTCCTACCAGTTAAGATGAAGGCCTTCTGCATAAGTATTTTCCTTAACTTGTACTTTTAACACAAAGTTCACGATAGGACCCTAAAAAAAAATGAAAAAATTAAAAAAAAATAAATAAATTCACATGATAGGACCGTACTTACAAGAAGAGACCTCAGTAGCTTCTTTTTCTATTTTTCCATAATGAAGTGAATTCCCATGTGATTAACATCTGTATCATGTTTTGAGTTTTCTAACTTCCTCACTACTGTTTTCCTGGAGAGGCATGTTGTCACTTAGTCATTGAAATCATGTTAATGGGGAGGAGAGGAGACAAGAGGAGAGTCTGGGCAAGAATAATTCGTTACCTACTTGAAGTGCATAACTTTGAACAGTTAATCTAGCAATATCAGAAGAATATAAATTCTAAAATGTGAAAAAGGACTGTGGGTTTGTTTAAATAACTTCACAGTAAAACATAATTGATGATATTTGAACACGGTGAAAAACAAGCTGGGAGGTAGTTCCAATAAAAATCTGTATACATGAAGGACAAGGTAGGAAGGAAAAAGATAGTTAGGCCCTACATGGTATTTTGAAATGCTGTCATAGGGTCCTTTCCTCACCCCCTCTTTAAGGTCTTATTTAAAGTTAAGTGCGTTAAGTGGGTGTTTAATGCTGTGCAGTGACATCAGTTATTTCCTTTGGTTCTCTTCCTGTTCCATTAAACTTTACTTAACAGTGTCATCTTCTGTACTTTTGCTGTCAAAGTGGTACAGAACACAGAGAGAACTGTCAAGTTAAGAGTGCATAAACTTTAGAGGTGGCAGAAGTCATATATGCATTAGAAGATCAAGACATGCGGAGGGGATGTATAGCATTATAACTGTTCTAATAATCTTTGAATATTAAGTGCTTCATATTAAGCTTTGGTCATCTCTCCCCTCTTATGCTTCCTTTCTATAAGTTATAGTAACTAATATTTTTAAATCTCTTTTCCTGATTCCACATTTCCACAGGATAACAATAATTTCCCTCCACATTTCCACAGGATAACAATAATTTCCCTCTTCATGCACGGGGAATAAAATGTTTGCTATTAGGTTTCTCTAAATTTACTGACTTTTGTAAGTTTTTTTTTTGTTTGTTTGTTTGTTTTTTTTGTTTTTTTTTTTTAAATTGGAAGTCTATGAAATTATATTTATACATTAATGGGGAATATACAATATCAGTTTCCATTTCTGCTTTCATAGACTTTCCTCCCAGTTTCTTTCTTGGATCTAACGGGTAGTGATTTACTTTTAAAATGTATTGCTTTGTTACATAATGAAATAAATGACATATCCAGCAAAGTAAAATTGCTGCTTACCACTGCCATAATAATTACTTTAATCAGATTCTTTCAACTTTTATAGAGAAATTGTACTGTTAATTTGTCTAAACATTTGTTTTTTTCCAGATTATCATTAAAAATTGAGCCAGGTAACAGCTCTCCTCGACTGGTTTCCTCTAAAGAAGATCTTGCAGGTATAAAAGTTTATTTGAAAGTTTGAGTAAGAAAATAACGTTAATTACAGAAATTTACTGATGTACACAGGAGAGACCATTAATCGATTTCAAATATGGTCTTTTGTTGCAATTAAAAAATTATCTTTTAAAGGCTGTTAGAAATTTGATTCCTTTCTGTGCATATGCCCAGTTTCAGAACACCATTGGTCAAAAATACCACTCTTATACTTGTTAAAATCAGATTTTAACTACAAATTTTTACAGGGCCCACTTGTTCTTTGGTTATCATTTTCCTTTATCTTATAAATTGTCCTCCTTTTGTGATATTCAGCCTTGAATGTTCTTAGAATGACAAATTATATCCCACATAACAGGACTGATTTTGCACATATCAGCATTCATTTGGCTAAGCAAAACAAATCCATTGATCTTGAATGAATGAAAGCAATTTTTTTGTTTTCATTCTGATCAAACACTACCACCTCAGCTTATTATGGTTTACTCCATAGTCATAGCTCTTTCTTTTTTTCTTAAGAATAAATAAAAATAAATTTGATTTCAGAAGTAAGACTTAATTTGTGGAGATTGCAGATGAGGGGTATACTGAGTAATTTGCCTTTCGGGGTGGCAAAGAAGCAGCATTTTTGAAATGATTTATTAGTAAGTATTGTATCTTTAATAAGAAGCAGAAAACCTGTTGGATTTTTCTCTGCTCTTTTAAAAGCCCAGTTACCTCACAGTGCATCTAGAATTAATCCCTGGAACTGATCAGTGCAAATCGCCAAGTGGCCCAAATAGATTCCCACATAGATTTTCCACTAACCTTATTATTGTGTAAGAGTCTACTGCAGGACCGTCATTCCCCGTAGTATTGCTGTGAACGTCTAAGTCCACCAGCAGTTCAGATGTATTTCAGTAACATGAGTCATCAATAGGGTATTCCTGATTTGTGTATAAACAACTGGGGTTTGAGGAGAACTCAGAATGTTTGTTAGCATTGGAACAGAAAATAGATTCGTTGTATGGTTGTGGGGATTTTTCATTTTGTTTTGTTTTTACAAATGTTTGAATTTTTGTTAGCATTTAATAAGTGAGGCAGGAAGAATTCTTTCAGTATAAACAAATCAGTGCAGTGAGTAATACAGGAAATTCTCTTTTCAGGTTTCTGTGTAAACTGAGGCACAAATTTGAGACACTTTCATTGTGTAAAGGGGAAAGACACACGAGAAAGATTCATGTGAATGATCTGTTCCATTGAATAGGTTACTTTACCTCTTAACTGTGAAAATAGAGCATGATGAGAAATATTTTTTTTAAGAAATGCCTACAAAGATCACTTGTAGGGTATGCATGTACAATTCTTGTGTCTTTTTAAAATCTTTTAGATAGCAGTTGATAATGTTTTGGCTCTGGACATCCTCTGTCATCAGGATATATTGAAGTATATAAAATTATATACTTATACATATAAAATTAATTTTTTTCATAATCTCACTCTTCTTCCACCTAAACAAAGACTCCTCTTCATACTGATTACTGCTATGGACATGCATCAATGAGCAATGCTTCTTAGAATTTCCAATTGGACTGAACATTGAATGTGTTATATTGGCACTGGTTTTCTAAAAACCGTCTGAGAAAAGGAACTAAGCATGTGTAACATTTTTATTTAAATGTTAAAAATTAAAATGAAAAAAATAATAAAAAATAATGTAAAATTAAATTAATTTTAAAATTAATATAAAAATTACATTTAATTTACAGATGAAGAGAAATGTAAACATTTCTATGAACAGACTAAACAAACATCAGAGTATATAAAATATACTTAAGAGCCATTGTCACAAAATCTCTTATATTTTAATCTGTTAAGCTGAACAGCCTGTTTTTTATATCACCATGATAAATCATATGTAATTTTAAAAAAGTGTTTAAAAACATAAGAGTACATTTCTCATCTAACAAATAATTTAATTTTGCATTCAAAATGTCTTTTTTCATACCAAAAGAGAGACAGTTTCAATGAGAAAGAAGGAGGGGGGAAAAAAAAAAAAAAGGAAGATGCTCATAATGAAAGGAAAAAAGTAAATATGGGTGTTCTTCCTCCACCTCCTGACTGTCTATATTGGCTGTTGTGAGTCCGTTCGTCCCTTCCTAAGTGTCCAATGGGCAGTATAGGAAAAGTACGGCTTGTCTCAGGTTGTGAATTCCATTCCTGGAGTCAGATACGTTTAATCTGATCTTCAGTCTATACTGTTTAAAGGAAAAAGAAATACAATCTGCAGAAATAATAACTTGGAAGAAAACATTTCTGCGGGAAGGTGCTCTCCATTCCTCTTCAATGCTCAGTTCTATTAATTGCTGGGTAAAATATAAGGAAGTTAGTTCATATGAGGAATTTTTTGTAACTGTTAAGTGCATAAGGTGTTCTTGGTTAACACTTTGTATGGACAAATCAAGCTTGATATTGTTTTTGTGAAGATATTTTTTTTCATACTTGAAACTTTAAGTAACTGGTTCTCTTCATTGTATTTTATGCATTAAAGGCAGACATACAAGTGGGTTTTTTGTTTTGATGGCTTTTACTTTGTATTGGTCACTTTTAAATGCTTTATACCAGGGTTATGAAGTTAACATTTCATTAGGATGATTTTGGAAGTTCAAACTTCAGTCATAGCAACATAATATCATCACCAATACTGTGTAATTGTTAACTGAGGGCTTAGACTTCATTACAGCTGTAATGGAAGGCAAATAAAAATACAGTTCTAAAGCAAGAAACAAGAGCTTTGAACTGTTCTGAGCCAGGCAAGTAATGTGGCTTTATACTACAGTGAGCTTAGCTGGAGTATGCAAATACTGACTGGGTCAATGTTGAGGTGAATAGGAAATTGTAGGTTATCTAGCAGTATTAGGAGAGAATGAACTTTCACCTCTGAATCTTCAGCGCCCCTACATGCTCTGTAAGGTTGCTTTATTCAGAATGGTGAATAGAAACCAATTCTTGAGTCATTTCTGTGTCTAGCTTTTTCTGTTAGTATTTCCATCAACAGATTGACGTGCTTGTAGACTGCTGTTTCTTGCTCAGCTGGAGAGTTCTCATTTACTGCCAGTTAGACAATGAATGCCACCAGCATTTTGTAAAATCCAGTTGGATTTTTTCACCTATGTGACTGCAGAAATGCTACTAAAGGCATTTATTAGGCTTCAGTGGCTACTTAGGCTTCAATGTACTTTACTGAAAAAAAAAAAAAAACACAAATTAATTCCCGAGGAAGGTTAGTTAAGTAAGTTACTATGAATTCACATCAAAATTTAATTAAGCATGAAGGCAGTAACTTATTATTTATTTCACAACATTAATAAATATAGTCATCCACATTAGTCTTGAATAATTCCAATGTAAGATATACAAATACCAGTAATGAGTTATTTGACCATTGAGAATTAAAATAGCACATTCTAAGTTATTCAAATGAACATTATTTTGATTGAAAATTCATTCAAGGCATATTTTGAGATTATTTCCACTTCAACCTTTGTGCATCAGGAGTAAACCCTTTGTAGTCAGCAAGCTATGATCCTAAGAGATGATTTGAAAATAGTTTAGGCAGCAGTTCAATGTTCCAGTCAAAAGCATAGAAGTCCTATGTATAGTCCATTAAAATGGACTATAAATAAAGGCTCTTGTCCCCAAAAGGCAGCCATCAGCTCAGTTCTCCTGATAGTTAGAAAGTTAGCATGTTATTAATAGCTGTAATTCTGTTTGATTCTGCGGTTAAGTTCTGCATGTGACATATTTGCTTCTTACAGGCTGCCATATGTTTCCAAGTATAAAGAAAAGTTCAATATGGTGGTAATGATTCCAAAGTTAATGGCAGACATAAGTGCAGGAAATTATATCTTCTTCATGTCCTAAAGCATATATACTTGTGTTGATGATAGAAACTGATTTTTCTTTTTCAAAAGCATTGTGACTTCATATTCTACCCCACTTCAGCATTCTCTCTTTCAACAGAAGAGTAACAATTTACACTAGCCAGGGACCTTTTTTTTGTTTTGTTTTGTTTTGTTTTTTTCCCTTGAAGTATCTTTAGGAGTGTGAAGCTCAGTAAAAACAGCTATATCCTCCAATAGTCCTGTTTGCTGGACTGGAGAAAACCATGTGTCCATTTTCCACTGTGGTTGCCAACTGGTTTTTCAGTAAATTTTGAACAGGAGGCAGACATCTGATTAAAGTGAATTTCTTACAACCGGCCGTGATTTGTATATTATTAGTGGCTATGATGGTCTTATTTAATTACCAAACTCATATATAACTGTGAATAGTGCTTTCACAGAAAGTTTTCATGCTTTCCAAAACATTGTAGAGATTCTTGTTGCTTGCAAGTAGCATTTAAAAAGGAGCTTTAAACTGTTTAATTGTATGTGTTTGAGGAACTGTGTCATTCACACAACTTCCCTGGTAGCAACTTAAGTCAGTTCGTTCTGCCTTGCTACGGTGAGAGGGAGAAGGAGGGAGAAAGGGAGAGAGTGAAGGGGGCTGGGGAGAATATGTAACTGGAGAGCTTATAGTATGCTAACTGTTCACAGTTTCCAGTTGAATTAGCTGTAAAAGACATCTGTGTTCCTGCAGTGTTGGCTAGGAGGTGCCAAGCATTTATGGTACAGCTATTAAACAGATTATTTTGGAAGGTATAACTTAATGTATTTTTCCAGAACAAAAGAAAAGTTCTAATGTAATATATAGCAAATAAGTTAGCTTTCTAAGCAACTTAAGTTCCTTAGAATTTGCACACTAAGTGTAACACAGTATAGAAAACTTTATGCATGTTCTTTATCATCTTAATGCTGAAAAGTTCAGGACTCATGTGCTAATCAGAATATAGAAAATGGTTGCTTGCTGTCTGAAATATGTCTATCCTGTCCTGGAAGACAAATATAAAAAGATAAAATAATATTAAAATAATAACCATGCCCAGGAAATCACCTCTCTATTATGAAATGAGTGACTCAAT